AAATGACACTCTAACCAATCAGGATAGAGACTGCGCGGTATATATGCTCTCCGACCCTATGTATTCAACTTCGATTTGATTATTATTGTTTTTCACATCCCCATTTTTTTGGTAAGGAAATTCACACGAATCCCACCATGGAATGGACATCTCAATGTTAGAATACCAGACCTCATTTCTCATCCACAAAACACACATTAAATCCATGAAAGTATCTTTTCACGCATCCCCAATAGAAAATGGGATCTAAAAACGGCAAGGTCGGTTATTGCAACCACCTAATTTGTTAAGAGCACCAAATGTTTTAAGGTTTTTTTTTTTTTTTTTTTCTGTTGTAATTTTTATTTTATCCCTTTCTTCAACCTCTAACCAGATTTTCTTGGCAAAGCTTAAAACTTAAAACACTATTCTGTTGTGATTCCGTAATAGGAAAGTCGGACCCATATATAGTAATAAGACCAATCCTGTGATTCTAAAATTTGCTTTAAATTTTTTTGTTAATTTGAGTAGGAAGAATTTAATTATCTTTAAATAACACTACAAGCAAAATGCCTTATACCAACGGAACTTTATACCAACGGATAAAAAATCTGTCTGTATAAATTATATATACCAACGGAAAACTTCAGCCGTTAGTATACACTGGTCTATACCAACGGAAAAATATATCCGTTTGTATAGACTTGGTTTATACAGACGGTTTAGTGATTATCCGTCTGTATACAATATATCTATACCAACGACAATTATTATATGTCTGTATAAATATATTTATACAAACGATTAATGTTCTGTCGGTATAGCCCCTATTCCTTTAACACTTAATTTTTTCTTTCTAATTTCAGCCTGCCCTACTTTCCCTTCCCACCGCGCACCCCCAATTTCCTTCCCGTATTTCCGAGCTTTCCTCCCCAATTTCTGACCTTCCCTCCCAGCAAATCTACAAAATTTTTAATTGATTTTGCTAAAACTCAAAACCCATTCGAACCTAGTTGCAAAATTCGTTTCCTCCACTTTAATCCATCAACGACAGAGTATTGCTCTTGCTCGCAGTCGACCGCAGGTCGGCTTGCTCTCTCCTGTTCGTCATCTATGGTACCGTCGCCTCTCTCTCTCTCTCTGTTTCTATAAGATTCCATTAGGCTGTGCATGCTCATCTTTGCTATTACTGGTTTCATTGTTGTTTTTCGATTGTTTGGTTTCATTCTGGTTTCAAGTTCCGATCGCATCGCTGTCACCGTCATAACTTCACTATGAAATCTTCCAAAAAACTCTCTGCCTGAAATCACCGATTCTTCTACATTCCCGAAGCAGATAGAGTAACTCAAAAGAATATTTGTAAGATATGATTATGGGCCAGGAAGAAGCCGACCGGAGAATATCGCCGTCAAAGGAGGAAGAGAGGAGTTCCGCTCGACCATTTTCCATGCAATCTTAGCTCTCACTTTATGGCTTGGACCCATCTATTTCAATGCCTTCTTAGTCCTTATCTCGCTGCTCTTCCTCCCCCTTTCCAAGTCCCTTATGTTCATTCACTCTCTCTCTCTGTCTCTGTCTTTGTCTCTCTCTCACTTTCTTTGTTTCCTTCTTTTCTAGTTCGATAGAAAAAACAAAGTCTTCTCCTTTTCCCCTGTATTTATTCTGGGTCAAAACCCCTTTTTCGAAATTTTTTTCAGGGTGATTGGATTGCTTTTGGTTTTCATGATCATTCCTATCTACCCTTACAATAAATATGACAAGCAATTGGCCAATTACTGTTCTATGTCTGTTGTTTTCCTTTTTAATGGTGAAGTGAATGAATTTCCTTAGTCATTTCTTGAAATGAATTCTTGGACAGCTCTCCATTGGAAGAATTTCTAATTTTAGTTCAAAGTTTTATTTTTGGACTTCTCCATTTGCTGGATTTCTAATATTTTGTATTGGTGATTTTGGCTTTGATTTTCTGTATTTTTCTTTTCATTATTATTTATATGATTTTTTTAATTCTTGCCATTAGATATTCAATAAATCCAAAGAATTGTGTTGTATTTATATATTGGGAATTGAATGTAATATGTAGTTTGACAGAGTTTTATGTTATATTTAGCTTATTGGATTCTTTTCTATTTAATTTTTCATAAAAATTTTAGGATAATTAGTTATGGAAAGAGTATTAACTTGTTTTACAAAATTCTACGCATATTTCCTTTAATGAAACAATGCCATTCCACGTGTTAGAAGTTCACAAGATCAAGCTGCTAACAGCAGGTGGAAAGAAATTGAAGCTCACAATTTGGGAAATAGGTGCGTAGAGATGGAGTTGGTGCTTGGTGGGGACTCTACGAGGACTTGCAACCCTTGTGTGGATGAGGTGGAGTGGTGGAGCATGGAGCTGCTGCTCCATTGGCTACTGCGGTAGTTTGAGAATTGTTTGCCTCTACCGGTTTGACTTTGAAATACACCTTCAGCTACCAGTTGATGAAAACCAAACAGTTGTCAGGTAAAATGGACTAGAAATTTCCAGAACTAGTGTCATTAATGCTTGAATTTGATTGCAGTTTTTGTGGATTTCAGAGTTTCTTGATATATATATATGCAATTTAGATTGATCTTAAATTTGTGTTTTGTTTGGTCTAGGGGTGGATTTTAAGATCAAGTTGCTAACAGTAGGTGGGAAGAAATTGAAGCTCACAATTTGGGATACAGGTGGGTAGAGATGAAGTTTGTGCTTGCTTATGATCTTTTATGCTTTTCATTCCAAATTTGTCATTTTATAGTTCCAATTTGTCTCAGTAGCCTATTACTTCATGTGTGGTCCTTGGTGCAAAACTTTTGAAAGACGCAAGAGGGGGAAATACGTCCAATATGAAAAGTTGAACTGTTTTATTGGAGTCAATCATCCGTTTACTTCAGATTTTTCAAATTGTGAAAGGAGCATGCTTCTCCGACCTGTTTTTACCTTTGGCCTTTTCGGTAATAGTCTTGGTTCCAAAATTTTTTGTTGGCATGGGAATAAGTGATGTCTGAAATCATATTGCTTCTTGAAGCTGGACAGGAAAGGTTCAAGACATTAACAATCTCTTACTATGGAGGTGCCCAAGGGATCATTCTTGTCAAGATCAAGATCAAGCTTTTGGACAATTTTACATTGATACGGGATTATTGTGAAGTATTAGAAGTTTTACATTGCTTTTCATTGGAAATTCATTTAGATCTGGTATTTCTGTTTTGTTTGTTGATAATATGATCTACAAATTTGGAGATTAAGCTTGCTTTGGTGGATTTTTGAAGAGTTTTTGTTTCATCTTTCAGATTTGTTATTGAGATGATTTCTGGGAATTTCAGTATAATTTATGCTTAATTCAGTAGGTATTTAATTAAAATAAGGAGGCAAAAATACTATGTAAAAATATAAATATTTTTTAGAATATACAACTAGAAATATATCTGTGTATTGGTATCTCTGATTTTCTTTTATCTTTGTACTTTTTCAATCTTTGGAAACTTTCTCAGTAATTATTGGATGATTGAAGTATGGTTTTATGGTAGAGAAAACCTTGACATCTCCAACAGGGTTTAATAATTGCTTTATTGCTGTTGAGTTTAATTAAGCAGACTTTTTCATTGATAAACTTAGATATTAAATTACATAAATTTAGATATCAAAATATCTCTGTTTTTGTTCATGCTGCATATGGTTGTGGCTGTTAGGCTAGAATGTTTTCTCATATTCAGGGGAATTCAAGGGCTAATTAAAGCACCAGCATCAGTAAAACAGATGGAGAAAATGGTACTTAAATATTTGCTGCCACAAATTGAAGTTGCATCGCTCTTGAGCATATCTCTTGCATTTGCCTAGGAAAAGGCAGTGAGGCAATGGCCTCATTTCATACTTTGGAGCTCCTTTGTCATGTGTTTGTCAGCTGGAATTCTTCTGGTTTGCTTCCAGAGATCTACCACAGATGGTGTTGGGGTTTGCTTCATTGCCTTTGCAATTGGTAATGGCTTGTATGCTTGTTGGGTTAGTCCGAGAATTAAGTTGTGTACCTAGGTTTTGATCAAAGCAATGGAATCTACTTCCAAATTTACAGATTTAAACCACCCCACTTACGTGATGCTTGGGGCTGGATTCATATGGATGTCTATGTGGATTTTGGTTGTGATTGGAACCTTTAATTTCCCCCTTTCAACCATTGATTATAATTGTATTGTTCTTGAGCTTGGCTTGGACAGCTGAAGTCTTGAGAAATGTTACCAATTTAACAGTTAGCACTTAGCAGAGTAATTTCTTTGTATTACCTCAGAGGAATGCAATGCATTACTAACTTCTGCTTCCAAAGAGCCTTATCCTTGAACCTTGGAAGTGCTTGTCTTGGATCCTTATTGGTTCCAACAATAGAAGCACTGAGAATTGTAGCAAGAGGTTTGAAATTGTAAAATAAATTTAGATATTAAATTAGATGTTATTCCATAAATTTAAGTGTTCAAAAA